TGGCTCCATAGAGTTTTATTTGTGCTATATATATATTTGTTGCCTCTTTCTGTTAACATCATATAAGAGGCGGTGATGGTCAGAGTGTAAGTTTCAAGAGAAGACTCTGAGGCAAGGAGCTGGACTTTTAATGTTTATTTGGTAGAGGATTTTAGGAAGCAAAAACCAGGGATAAGGAACAAGAGACTCCCCTGATTAGGGAGAAAGCTAACAAAATATGCAATAAAGAAAAATTACTGCTGCATTCAACTAAATTTCAATTACTTAAGATATTTTAGCTTCCTGCATAAAAGAGGGCTAGAAAAGTTTGAGTTTTTATCCATTGAGTCCTGTCACATATTAGTTTAATATTTCTCTTAACACATTAGATCTCAGGACGTTACAAACTGCTGTGGGTGGGGTCCAAGCAAGATCCCTTTGCCCTCAGGAAATGAAGTCAAACACTAGAGATGGAAAGCAACCAGCATGTCAGAAAACAATCTATCTTGGCTGTAGGTCAAGTCAGAAAGAAAAAGACAGTGTCAGTCAAGCAATCATGTCTGACTCTTTGTGACCCCATGGGTTATAACTCACCAGGCTCCTCTCTCCATGGAATTCTCCAGGTATGAATACTGGAGTGCACAGCCATTCCCTTCTCCAGGGCATCTCCCCATCCAGGGATCGACCCAGGGTCTCCCGCATTGCAGGCAGATTCTTTAAGGTCTGAGACACCAGAGAAGCCCAGGTCAATTCAGAGGTGACCTTAACACAAAGCACGGAAGACAGCTGTGTCTGCTACAGTGATATTTGCAGTAGTAAGTCGATGGAAAAGGCAAAATAATACAGAATACACTTTTAAAAACATTTTCTGAGAAGTTGCCATTGGTTCCTCTTTTACTCCTTCTCTGGGTCATTCCTCATCAATATTATACTGAGGAATCACATTGACATCTTTAGAATTTGCCTTCAAAGTCTCGGTTCCTTCACCGGCTCCCACCACACCCACAGGCAGAAGGACCTTAGGATGCCAAAAAGGCCAACCTCTTCTGCCCTTTGTCTCAAGAGGCATTCAGGAAAAATCAGCTCCTATACAAAGATGAAGCTGTTAATTTATTCTTTCCTGTTTGCAAGTATTCTCTCCTTGCACAGATGTCAGAAAATTCTGTTAACATGGAGTGTGTGGGCTACACTGACTTGGCCCTTTTAAACCCATGCAACAGGAAGGAGACTTTTGCTTGTCCCTGGCTTCCAAAATAGACTTTTTTACTTAGGGTACTATGTCTTCCACACCACCATGATAGGAGGTTTTTTTACCCTATCACCTTTGTATCAAATTTAATTTTATATGGATAATGAGGCTGAAGGCTTGGAAGCATTATATATATATAGTGGAGCAAAATTGGGTCTAAAATCAATACCAGTAAGAGTCAAGAAATATCAGTCCTTGGAAGATTTCTTAATCTAGTGCATTCATTATAGTTTTAGTATTTGTGAATTTGCCACACCTTAAACACTTCATAATCTAGCCTAGGGTATTGCCTCTTCACTCTCATTAATCTAAATGCCTTAAGAGAAGCTTTCTTCTTGATCTCTTGTGTTTTATGTTGCAAACTGCACACATCGGAATTGAATAGGAAGAATTATTTTTTGAAGGATGAGAAGAAGAGGGCAGAAGACCTCCCTACATCTCTCCACAGCTCCCAGATACATAGCATAAGTAAAACACAAACTGTGTTACTTAGCTGATAGAATTTCTGCATGTTTGAGAATCTAGCATCATGGGATATCATTATAATGAAGTGGTACAGTTTTAAATAATCTTCATGGATTATAAAAAGCCACATAATTGTGGTTTAGCAATTGACACTGAATCCCACATTTGGTGAGTATAGTACTGGACATCTTAAGTTAGAAAATTGTAGTGTTTGCTAAGGAGGATTTGCCACATGCACTATTTGTCAAATTCCAAAGATGTAATTGGAAAAAAATTCAGACTGATTTTATGACCTTTACTAGTGCTACATAATTGCAGAGTTAGTGCTTCCTGATTGAGAAAATATGGTGTATTTTACAAAATAAGGAAAGGTAAGATAAGGACTTTTGGCCTTATTAGCTGTATTGAATGAGAAAGTATTGTTATCCTTTCATACTTTTAAAATAATGTGTGTAAATATTTCTGCCGATGTTAACTCACCTAACCTGACCTACTTTAAGACCCATTCAAGATTCTTCTTCATTTTTATCCTCCTTAGTTTTTTTCTGTCTGCCCTTTGAAACAGAATATTCTCAGTCTGACCAACCCACGTATCTCAGTTGAGACTGTTTGCAAAGTTTTAGAATACATAGCTAAGGCTGGGTGTTTGAGTTTGCATAAGATAATAATTAATGGGTTTTGCATCCATTCATTCCCCAAGTCCTGGTGAAACTCTGAAGTTTGTGCTTCTATCACTGAAAAGTCAGTCTTATTGCTCAAATTTCCTGTTTCTTTTTCCAGTTGGTGCTTTGATTCTTGGGTAGGGGTGATGTGGGGAGAATCAGATGAAAGTATATAATAATAATAATAAGATGAGAGCTTGTTGTTACATAGAGAAGTGACTACTCCTCTGATTATACCTGAGGAGGCTTCTAATCACCAATAAACCATCCTGCTCTTTAATTCATCACATGAAGACCCAGAAACATAAGGTTGAGTGTCAAATTCATAGTTAGGAAGTCAAACTCCTCCAAGTCATAAATATGCCCATAAATTGAAAGTGTGTCTTGTTTTCAATACCCTAGGACTTTATCTCAAACTGCTTTAACAAAGATAATTTTTAAATAAAAAAAATCAACTCAGTTGAGTTTCAGAATTCCAAGGATTTGTAAAGTACAACATAATTTGAATGAAAAGGTTTGCCACAATACACAAGCTTCTGTGGAAAAATTCTTTTCCTTGAGTAAAACTGTTGTAGCTAAAAGCCCTAGATTTCTCTTTCTTGTCTGGTTGCCGCTAATGAATGTTTGCTTTTCACCTTTTTTGTAAATAATTTGTTAACATTGTGAATAGATTTTTAGAAAGAATGAATTGTATGAGGCAGATTTCAGCTTCCAAGTTAAGCAAATTTATGTTCTGATTTTCTTGACATTTATATTTGCTTAGTGACAGCCGGAAGTTCTAGCATTTAACTTACTGTTGCCCAGCCCCTAAGTCATGTTCTACTCGTCGCAACCCCAGGGGCTGCAGCCAGGCTCCTCTGTCCTTCACTGCCTCTCATAGTTTGCTCAGATCTGCATACGTTGAGTAGGTGATGCCATCTCACCATCCTGTCTGTTCCTGCCCCTTCTCTTTGGTCTTCAATCCTTCCCAGCATCAGGGTCTTTCCTGATGTCGGCTCTTCACATCAGGTGGCCAAACTACTGGAGCTTCAGTCTCAGCACTGTGAGCTTAAAATTTTTCTTTTAATACCAAATTCTTGATCAGTCTGTGACTGATTTTTATATGGATGAGCTAAAGATGCAATTTCACCACTTTCTATGGAGATAATCAATTTAGTACAATTTTTTACAAAATGGATATTGGAATGAAAATAACGTTCGAATACGTGTAGTTACACTAAAGAGAAGTAAATCAAAGTCTATCAATAAGTTACTAATAGTTTTCTTCAGAGACTGGGACTGAAGTTCCAAAGGAAAGAAAGAAAGGACTGTTACTTTGTATTATGATTCTTTCTAAAATTTGATACATTTTTACAAATTATATGTATTTCAACTGAAAAATATTTTTTTAAAAAAAAATCAGGTTTCCCTTTCTGCCCAAATGTTTATAATGATATTTTGCTAACAGAGCTATAAAGGAACTGTGTATATTTTGTAATGAGAACCAGTATATGAGACAAAAAATAAAATGATTACTATATATCTTAGGTTATGATGCTGGTGCTGGTGGTTTAGTTGTGTCTGACTCTCTGCAACTACATAGACTGGAGTCTTCAAGGCTCCTCTGTCCATAGGGTTTCCCAGGCAAGGAGAGTGGAGTGGGTTGCCATTTCCTTCTCCAGGGGATCTTCAGGGATCAAACCACCTCTCCTGCATTGCAGGCAGATTCTGTATCGCTGAGCCACCAGGTTAGTCCATCTTACCTTATGATGGTTTCTAAATTTGGTTCCAGGTTCAGTGATGGAGCTGAGTCTTGTTTTATATCACTCCATCAAAAATAATTAGATTCATCTTACACATAATGGCTTTGCATACTAAACTTTTATCAGATGGTATCTTCTGAACTCCACTGTCTATTCTTATGGTTCTTCCCACAGTTACTTTCCTTGATGGCCTGGACGGATTATCAGAATCAAACGATGCCTGCTGAATTCATCCTCATGGGAATCACAGACCGGCCTGAGCTGCAGGCTCCCTTCTTTGTGCTGTTCCTCACCATCTATGTAGTGTCTGCAGTGGGAAACTTGGGCATGATCATTCTCACCAAGGTGGACTCCAAGCTACAGACACCCATGTACTTCTTTCTCAGAAACCTGGCTTTCATCGATCTGGGCTATTCCACATCTGTGGGACCCAAAATGCTGGTAAATTTCGTAGCTGATCAAAACACAATCTCTTACCATTGGTGTGCTATGCAGCTGACTTTCTTCATCTTGTTCATCATCAGTGAACTTTTCATCCTGTCGGCAATGGCCTATGACCGTTATGTGGCCATCTGCAACCCTCTGCTCTACACAGTAGTGATGTCACCGAGAGTATGCTGGGTGCTGGTCGCCGTCCCCTATGTTTACAGTGGCTCCGTTTCTCTGGTAACTACCATCAAGATATTTCTTTCATCCTTCTGTGGCCATAACATCATCAGTCATTTCTACTGTGACAGTCTCCCCTTGCTCACTTTGCTGTGCTCAGAAACAAGGGACATTGAGCTGTTCATACTGGTCTGTTCCGTTTTTAACTTGGTCTCATCTCTCCTGGTAGTTGTTCTGTCCTACATCCTGATACTTAAGGCCATCCTACAAATGAACACTGCACAGGGCAGGCAGAAGGCTTTCTCCACCTGTGGCTCTCACCTGGCAGTGGTAGTTGTACTGTATGCCACTCTAGCCTTTATGTACATGCAGCCCAAGGCCAGCCACTCTTTTGATACTGACAAAATGGCCTCTGTATTTTTCACTTTGGTCATACCCATGCTGAACCCTATGATCTACAGCTTGAGGAACAAGGAAGTAAAAGGTGCTCTGCGTAAGGTGTGGAAAAATCTCTGCAAAATCCCCATATAAAAGTAAATATAAAAGGCCTGCACAATAAATTAGATTATAGACAACTGTTTATTATATGTGACAAATTACTCAAAAGCAGTAATGTATGAAAAGCACGCAAAGTAAAAATGGTTTTTCTTGTGTCAACGGTAGATGTTCAAGTTGTGATGATTCTTCTGGTGTCAACTTTGGCTTAACCTCAAGTTTCAGTGCAAGAGACTCAAGTCCAGATCACTGTTCTCACTTTGCCAAGTGTTTATGTTTCAATTGAAGGGAAACCTTTTTTTTTTAAACTATATCTATCATTAAATAGTTTTTAAAGACATTATTGTGTCTTTTAATAAAATGCTTTTGTGTGTATATATCTGCAATATGTGGACCGAGAACTTGCAGATGTTCAAGCTGGTTTTAGAAAAGGCAGAGGAACCAGAGATCAAATTGCCAATATCCTCTGGATCACTGAAGAAGCAAGAGAGTTCCAGAGAAACATCCATTTCTGCTTTATTGACTACACCAAAGCCTTCGACTGTGTGGATCACAACAAACTGTGGAAAATTCTGAAAGAGAGGAGAATACCAGACCACCTGACCTGCCTCTTGAGAAAGCAGTATGCAGGTCAGGAAGCAACAGTTAGAACTGGACATAGAACAACAGACTGGTTCCAAATAGGAAAAGGAGTATTTCAAGGCTGTACATTGTCACCCTGCTTATTTAACTTATATGCAGAGTACATCATAAGAGACGCTGGGCTGGAAGAAGCACAAGCTGGAATCAAGATTGCCGGGAGAAATATCAATAACCTCAGATATGCAGATGACACCACCCTTATGGCAGAGAGTGAAGAGGATCTAAAAAGCCTCTTGATGAAAGTGAAAGAGGAGAGTGAAAAAGTTGGCTTAAAGCTCAACATTCAGAAAACTAAGGTCATGGCATCTGGTCCCATCACCTCATGGGAAATAGATGTGGAGACAGTGGAAACAGTGTCAGACTTTATTTTTGGGGGCTCCAAAATCACTGCAGATGGTGACTGCAGCCATGAAATTAAAAGACAGTTACTGTTTTGCATATAGGGTTATCGTTACCATCTTAACCCTATATGCAAAACAGAAAAAGAGACACAGATGTATAGAACAGACTTTTGGACTCTGTGTGAGAAGGCGAGGGTGGGATGTTGCAAGAGAACAGCATCGAAACATGTATATTATCTAGGGTGAAACAGATCACCAGCCCAGGCTGGATGCATGAGACAAGTGCTCGGACCTGGTGCACTGGGAAGAGCCAAAGGGATCGGGTTGAGAGGGAGGTGGGAGGGGGGATCGGGTTGGGGAACACATGTAAATCCATGGCTGATTCATGTCAATGTATGACAAAAACCACTACAATATTGTGAAGCAATTAGCCTCCAACTAATAAAAATAAATGAAAAAAAAAAAGACACTTACTCCTTGGAAGGAAAGTTATGACCAACCTAGACAGCATATTAAAAAGCAGAGACATTACTTTGCCAACCAAGGTCCATCTGGTCAAAGCTATGGTTTTTCCAGCAGTCATGTATGCATGTGAGAGTTGGACAGTGAAGAAAGCTGAGCACTGAAAAATAATGCTTTTGAACTGTGGTGTTGGAGAAGATTCTTGAGAGTCCCTTGAACAGCAAGGAGATCCAACCCGTCCACCCTACAGGAGATCAGTCCTGGGTGTTCATTGGAAGGACTGATTTTGAAGCTGAAACTCCAATACTTTGGCCACCTCATGCAGAAAGTTGATTCATTGGAAAAGACCCTGATGCTGGGAAAGATTGAGGGCAGGGGGAGAAGGGGATGACAGAGGATGAGATGGCTGGATGGCATCACCAACTTGATGGGCATGAGTTTGAGTAAACTCTGAGAGTTGATGATGGACAGGGAAGCCTGGAGTGCTGCGACTCATGGGGTCGCAAAGAGTTGGACACGACTGAGAGACTGAACTGAACTGAAAGTGATTATAGAACATGTAAATATTAGTGCCCATCACACTGGCATCCTGACAGGTAGAATATGGCAGTGAGTGTGCTTTTGCTGGCGAGCGCAACAATGAGCAGCACACCGCAAGCATCTGCCCTAAGGAGGCGTCAGCCACAGCCCCTTTACGGTTGCTGCCACCTCAAATTTCCATCAAACTATGAAACAGACATTTTTAACTTGAGGAAACAAAAACAAAAGGGAAGTTATTCTCAGGGGATATGTGTTAATTAAAAATCCAAAAATAAATTTCAAGCTAAAATATTAGAAATAGGAAATGAATTTTACCAGGTTGATGGCTATCATGTCAGCATACAAAAATAGTTATTTTGCTATATGCTAGCATAAAACAGGCTAAAGCAAAATTTTCAACAATTCATTACACCAGAAAAAGTCTGTAAAATACTCAGGGAAAACTAGTGAATGATTTGAGTGAGTTCATTGCTAGGAACTACAAATACATTACTGAAATATTAAAGGAAACATAAAAGCAGCAATGTGCCATGTTTAATGGCTGAAAGAACTAAATATGATGAAATCAGTTCTCCCTAAATTTTCCTATATATTTAAAGCAAGAGCAATCAAAATTCCATTTATAAGACTTAAGTTGGCATCAGAATTTATATAGAAATGCACAAGATCTAGACTAATCAGGAGAGTATGTTATGTGAAGAAATAATCCAGAGGAGTGCCAATATGACACATATCAATGCCCTTTTTATTTTTTTAAGTGGCATTTTATTTTATTTATTTAATTTTTTTTCCATTTATTTTTATTAGTTGGAGCCTAATTACTTTACAATATTGTAGTGTTTTTTGCCATACATTGACATGAATCAGCCATGGATTAACATGTGTTCCCCATCCTGATCCCCCCTCCCACCTCCCTCCCCATCCCATCCCTCTGTGTCTTCCCAGTGCACCAGCCCTGAGCACTTGTCTCATGCATCCAACCTGGGCTGGTGAGCTGTTTCACCCTTGATAGTATACTTGTTTCAGTACTATTCTCTCAGAACATCCCACCCTCGCCTTCTCCCACAGAGTCCAAAAGTCTATTCTGTACCTCTGTGTCTCTTTTTCTGTTTTGCATATAGGGTTATTGTTACCATTTTTTTAAATTCCATATATATGTGATAGCATACTAGTCTTTATCTTTCTGGCTTACTTCACTCTGTATAATGGGCTCCAGTTTCATCCATCTCATTAGAACTGATTCAAATGAATTCTTTTTAATGGCTGAGTAATATTCCATGGTGTATATGTACCACAGCTTTCTTATCCATTCATCTGTTGATGGGCATCTAGGTTGCTTCCATGTCCTGGCTATTATAAACAGTGCTGCGATAAACATTGGGGTGCATGTCTCTTTCAGATCTGGTTTCCTTGGTGTGTATGCCCAGAAGTGGGATTGCTGGGTCATATGGCAGTTCTATTTCCAGTTCTTTAAGGAATCTCCACACTGTTCTCCATAGTGGCTGTACTAGTTTGCATTCCCACCAACAGTGTAAGAGGGTTCCCTTTTCTCCACACCCTCTCCAGCATTTATTACTTGTAGACTTTTGGATAGCAGCCATTCTGACTGGTGTGTAATGGTACCTCATTGAGGTTTTGATTTGCATTTCTCTGGTAATGAGTGATGTTGAGCATCTTTTCATGTGTTTGTTAGCCACCTATATGTCTTCTTTGGAGAAAAGTCTGTTTAGTTCTTTGGCCCATTTTTTGATTGGGTCATTTATTTTTATGGAATTGAGCTGCAGGAGTTGCTTGCATTCAATGCATTCAATGCCTTTTTTAAAGCCAGATTATTTTTAAAGAGTATACATTCAATGAAACTTTGAACAGAAAGACCAATAAACTAAATGAAAATAGAGTCCAAAAATAAACTCACATGTACAATTTCACCTGATTTTAAGCAAAAGGAAAGAATATATTTAGGGAAAGAATATATTTTTAGTAAATTAACTTAGTACAATTAGGCTTCCTATGTAAACCGTGGACATTTAAGTCATTTACTTGCTTAGTAAAAAAAAATAATAGAAATGTTATAATCACAAAGTTTCTTGACAAAAAATAGAGATACATTCATGATTTGTGATAAACAAAGACTACTTAAGCAAGGGACAAAAAGTAATAACTCTAAATGACAGAAAAATAACACTCTGTACAAAATTATGAAAATACACCATAGGAGAGTGAAAAGGAAATCTTGAGAGAACATTTGAAACAAGTACACCCTACAAAGTACTGGTGTCAATAATTTGTAAAAAATAAATAAATAAATAAAAATAGAACAGATATCCTAATTCCTAAAATCAGTATGAGCTAGACAGACTACTGGGGAAAAGAGAGCAAGATATCTGAAGAACTGCTTCATAAAAGAGTACATCAAAATATCAAAAAACATATAAATGTGTTCAGAAACATCACTGATCATTAGCTAAATGGAAGTTAAGTCTATACAGCCATACACTACATATCCGGCAAGATGGCCAAAACTCAAGTTTCTTTGAACAGTTAGAGATTTTGATGAAAATGTGAAGAAACTAAACCCCTTTTAGTTACCTGAGTAAGTGTATGTTGCTATAAAGACTGGGAAAATAAGCAAACACTAAATTTTAGAATGTGTATTCTCTATGATGCAGCAGTTCCTTTCCTAAGTAACAGTGGGCACTGGAAGGTAAGCAATAGCATGTCTTGAGCAAATATAGTCATTATAGGTGTTAAATAAAAACAATCTGATGTTATGGGTCATTATATAAGGGCACTTTCTATGCTGTTAATGCAATATATTATACACAGCAATGCAAGAAGAATGGGAAAGGGAAGGGAGGGGAAGGGAAGGGAACAAGTGAGGAGAAAAATAAATGGGTATAAATAACATTAAATGAAACACGAATGGATATAACATTAAGTGACAGACTCTCCAAAAATTATACCAATAGATACAAACATAAAAGATACTGATCTGTACTTATAAGATACTGACACTTTGTATATTAAAATTTATTCAGAAAGTGAAAACAC